AAACCAAATGTCCGGTTATTTTCACCATGGTGCAAAAACAGGAGACCCTGCTGAGCAGCAGATGGCCCTCCACAGGACTGACACTCCGGCCAGGCCCCAGGTGGCAGCATGGGGAACACACTGTCCACTTAAACCCCACACAGACCGGCTTCTGGAAATACCTGGTGTTTGTGTCCCCAAAAAGTTCAATGTAGGACAGCATCGTTCCATACTCTTTATGGGGCTTATGGGGGGAACTGGCTTCTCAGCCAACATTTGAAAATCAGGGAGTCCCTAGGGAAACTCTGCAAACATGCAGTTAGCTTAAGAAGGGTCTTCTTGCCCCTCAGGTTCTACATCTCCAGGTTCATCTGGGTCACTACAAATGGAAAAGGAAAATCTAATAAGTTAAAATGAGGTGGGGAAAGGTCATCAGGAAAACAGCAAAGAACAATGCCCTTCATCTGAGCAAATGATGTCCCTGAGAGAGTTCATTTTAGCTTGGAGGAGGAAAAGATCCAAGAGGAAACTTCTCAATGTGCTCAATGTGTCTGCTTCAATAAAGATCCCTGTTTTGTAATATTAGATCCACTGAGTTCTAATTACATATGTAAGTGTTGGCAGCATTATTATAGTTGTTTTTCCTTCTGCATCTAGGGATATGGAAGACTTGTATATGTCACTGGTTATGACACCCCAATCACGAAGAATGAAAATTTCTATTTATTAGTTCTAGGAGCAACACCAGTGTAACAGCAGAAAACAGCACTATTTACCTGGTCCATATTACTGCTGTACAGAATCCGGAGCATTAAATATCTCAATCCATTCAGGAATGTTCTTTCCCCAAGTAAGGTTTTGATGACTCTACACATAAATACTGATTTTTACCTTTCACCATTTGCATTTTAATTAAAATAAATCTATGTCGATTTTCATTTTTATAATACAGTGTATTTATGTTTCAAAATCTTAACTTCTTATCCCAAGGGTCACTTTAATATTTAATTTTTTGCCTTGTTCAGTTACTGGAAAACACCTTATAGCCTCTTTATTACTTTACTTCGGTTTATTTTTTCTTGACCCTGTAAAATTATCCATTTGGCAATTATGTTATCAATATGCAAAAAGTTCTCATTGTAATTATAAAAGCAAATGTAACCTGTGATTATTAAGAAAACTGTTTTGCAAATCAACCATTGTTTATTCCAGAATATAATCAAGTACCCTAGCCTGGATTAAAAGCTTAAGGATAGGGATTTGTGTGTGTGTGTGTGTATGTGTGTGTGTGATTTTAAATAGTAAAGGTAATCAAACCTTTCTGCCAGTCTAGGTGATTGTGAAATTTAATTACCAGCAGTTATCATTAAAACAAAGACAAAGCAATTTCTTCTACATGTAATTGAATATTCCAGAAGAAAGTTTCTGAAGAGTTCTCAGAAAATGTATTTAAAAATTTATTTTAACCTGATTATTTCATTTGTTATGCTGCAGTTGGTAAGGTGGATTAATTGACACACTTGGGTGTCATGGTTCAACAGCAGCAAGTGAGAGCCTAGTCTCAGGAAAATCAGATAACCTAGAGCTTAATACTGAATAAATTATTAGATCTTTACTCTTTGTGTAAATACAGCCAAACCTAAACTCCCACAGCTATCCCTCTCAGAAAGGTTTAACCTGTGTCACTTGAACTCACCTCTCTGTGTGCTGGACACTACCGAATTGACTGTTCATTTTTTAGTGCTCAGTTGCCGAAATAATATGTCTTAAAGCTTTCGGAGCTGCTCTGTCAAACCCACTGCTGCCTGAACAGAAGGGAAACCTCCTACATCAGCAGCAGCAATAAGAGATCTGAAAGCTCAGTGTGTGATGCTGCTTATGGGCCTATTATGCATAACTGCCCAGAGAAGAGTAACTACCAAGGAAGAGGAGCCACAGCCTTAAGAAAGAAAGTTGAGAATTAGGCCATCAGTGTCCCCGTCTCCAGGCCTTTTGAGCCTAAACTCTTCCCTCTTCCAGAAACGCCTTTCTCTCTCTCTGCTTTCCGGAAAAATTCTATTTACCCTTCAAGGCCCAACTCCTATGTCATCTCCACTGAGCCCTCTAAATTTAGTTAACCACTCTTTTCCCTGCACTCTCCTCCACATAACTCGTTTTATCAAACTGGACTAATAATTGTTACTTGCTTGTCCATCGCCACTGCTGGACGGTGAGGGAAAGCCTTGATTCATCTTTCTATTCCATATACCTCGGATTATACCTGAAAGCTAGAAGGCACTCAATAAATGCTTGTTGAGTGGAACCCAAATTCAGGATCAAGTTTAACATGTGCTATAAGAAGCAGATTTTATGTGTGTTGAACTTATTTTCTCATCTAAAATCTAAGCCAATGAGTGTCTTCTTTTTCCTTCCCCAAAGGACAAAACTTTACTCACACCAAACCCTTATTACCTACCAGGCCCTGTGCTAAATGCTGTACACACATTGTCACATTTAATCCCCACAGTACTCCTATGAAGTAGGTCCTGTTATTATTATTAGCCTCATTTTACAGATGAGGAAATTGAGGCTTGAAGCGGTTAAGTAATTTACCCCAAGTCACCTAGCTGGTCAGTGGTGGAGCCAGAATTCACAGATAATATCGGAACTTAGGGCTAGAAGAGATCCTAAAATTATCTTTCTCGTTTAAATCTCTTTGAAGCTGAGGCTTATAATTTACTGCCTGGTACATAGTAGGCCCTCAAAAATGGTGATTAATAGATTGATGGAGCGCCCTAATTTCTCAGTCTCTGGCCTTTGCCTAGGAGAACCCAGCTGCCACTTCAAACAGGCTCTATTCTTTCCTGCCTAACACCTCTCACAGGTGTGAATTGCTTGTATCATCTGAATTATTCATGATGCACACAATGATAAGTGTGTTTAAAAAGAGAACTACAGTTCTCATGTTTTTCAATACGAAGTGCCTGATTTATTGGTGAATTAGGCAATATAAGCTCATGGGCCAGACTGATTCATACTACATAACATATCCATGCCCACTTTTTGAATTTCAGCTTTCCAGGAATTTCCAAATTTCTATCAGGATTAAAAATAGTGGTAAATAAAACAGGAAAGAGAACCATCATAAATGTCTCTATCCTAACCGCAAAGCAATTACCATCATCTAAAGCTTATGCTTTGCTGATTCAAACCAACACATTCTTGCTAAGGCTGGATTAGGTTTTTCAGTCAGGTTTCCTAAGCTACATCAAGATCTGAAAATTCAGATGTCACTGCATCTGTAATTTATGTCATCAGTAAATCGTGAAAATACTGCCTCCCTGCCCTCTCTCCATTCTTCTTTCCCTTCACCACCTCTCCTCCACCAGATCATTTTATGATGGGCAGTTGTCTGAGAGGAATAACCATATGCTAATAGTAAGCCAACATCACTGTATTTTAAATTCAATGCTAGTCAACCAAAATGAATTGAAAAGCAGCAACAGTGGTTTGGGGGGTGCTAAAAATAAGCTGTAGCATTTGCTGAGTTCTCAGAATTAAAACCACAGGCGGTCAACTTGTTGCTACTCTTAATAAGATAGGACTGTTCTGCCCCATTGGCTGCTGCTACCAGAAACTTGAACTGTAGCTCACGTGGAACAACACTGCTTTTGATTAGTTGGCAGTGATCAAGAAAGGAAGTGCTATTTCCCTGGGACTAAACCTGCCAAGAAAGATAACAGATGCCTTTCAGGTGATCACCTTGTGCCATGTCACAATTGCACCTTAGTTAAATTCACCTTGCATTTATGATTTAATTAGTTACACTTCTATAGATATGATTCTCTTTATGCCTGGCTTGCCAGCCAATGCGTCCAGCAAGGTGTTTCTGCCCTGAGTTAAATTTTTGGAGGATAATAATAATAAAAATAGGAATTGATGATACAATATTAGTATATCGAGCACTTCCATTAGGATTTCAAGACCTTCGTGATCCCTGAACACTATATACTACGCTAAACGTCTTCTCAGCTATCCCTTCAGGGTTTGTCATTAAAGTTTTCAATGACCAGAGAGGTAGAGGAATTCTACCTAATGCATCATTCTGATTAGAAACCTGTCATACACAGAAACCAGTGGGTCTGCTTCTATTGATTCCTGCTCCTTCAGACTCATTAGCAATTTTTTTCCTCTTCAATTAGACCCACTGATCGACCATCGAAAAACTGAAAGAAGATGTCCCTTTGCTCAGCCACACTTAAAAGGGGAAAAAAAATGTATGCCTTGAAAGTAAAATTACAGAGAGTATTGTAAGAATATGTCCAAGGGGTCACATAGGAAAATCTCTCTCTCCCTTTTCACACACACACACACACACACACACACACACACACACACACACACACACACGCACATTTGTAAACGGGCAAAGAGTCAGAGGCTGCGCTCGACTTCCCTTCCCCTAACCCACTTCAGTCAGAACAAGAAAGACACAATTCCTTCATTCCTTCTATCTCAAACCCATGCCCTAAGCGTGTGTCTCCACGAAGCTAATTTCTGAAACAAACAAAGAAAATCAATTCTGCGAGGAGCGAGGGTTAACTCCCCTCTGCTTTGGTTCTGGGCATCCACGGTAGCCTACGGGAGTGGGCGCGGCACGGTAAGCAAGTCCCCGCGTCCCGCTGCCCCTTAACCTTCCCAGCCCCCGAGGCCCAGCCCCAGCTCCAGCTGCGCCAGAAGGTGCGAACCTGCCCCAGCTCCTTTCGCTTCTTCCCTGCTGTGCCCCAAGTCCCCAGAATATCCGCGTCCGCACACTTAGGGCGCCGCTGCTCTCCCACCTCCGCGCTGTCAGATGTCAGGCGCTGAGGTGCTGTGGGCAGCGAGGCGCTGGCAAACCAAATAAGTGTCTCACCGGACGCCTCCCCGACTCCGAGAGAGCGGGCAGGACGGCCACAGGTAGGCTCTGTGCCTCCCAGGATGCGGGGCAAGGCAGGGGACTAGAGACCCGGCGCGGCAGCCGCGTCCGACCAGCTGAAACTCACCGGAGGAGACGGAGGAGCCGGACAGGCTGGAGTTGCTGGACGCTGCCATCTCCGCGTGTCCCGCGCGTCGCTGCTCGCTCAGCCCCGCTGCGGGCGCCGCCGCCGCTGCCCTCGCCCGGCCGCTCTCAGTCTCCGCGGCCCCCAGCCCATGGCAAAGTCCTGGGGACGCGCAGAAAGCACCAGCCTCCGGACTCTGCCTGCACTTCCTGCTCCGCCAGATGACGCGCTGCAGCCGCTGCTATTTATTTGTGGTTTCCGTCCCTCTCGGCGCCCTTGCACGCTGTTCTCCGGGTGTTGGGGGTAGGTGGGAGCAGAGGGAGGCCGAGGGGCGGTCGAGGCTGGCTGATAGCTCCAGACGAGCCCCAGCTGCCTTCTGCGCTCCCCTGCGCGCGACTGGGACCAGGGTACACGGGTGGCCCCCAGCCGCCCCTCCAGCTCCCCTCACCCTCCCCGGGTTCCAGCCTCCCCGGCAGCACTTCGAGCAGCCCGGGCAAAGACGGCGGGAGACAGACAGAGCGACCTCCCCCTTCTCCCTCCGCCCCAACTCCGCTTGCGCGCACACAAAGGAAGGAGAGGAGACGCGGGCCCTCGGGGACTGGTTCTGCCGCGGCGGGCTTGACAGCTCCTGCGACTGCGGCTGGAGGGGGAGGTTGAGGACCAGAGGGGCGGAGGGGAGACTGGACCGGGAAGCGGGACCCAGAGGTGCTGGGGAGGCGCCGGGGGCGCGGCGCGAGCGCGGCTACCCTGCGCAGCGCTGTTCCACGGTTTTGAAGGCGACCCGGGGGCGGGAGTAGAGGGAGGTGGTGGAGCTGGACGCGTCTGGCCCCGCTTAGGAGCAGCGAGCCTGCGGAGGTGGGGGAATCCAGAGGGCGAAGGAGGGATCAACAGGGACACGGTGCTGGGCAGAAAGGGGCCTGGGATGCCAGAGCGACTGTGGAGTGCCTCTTCCACTCCCTCCAAATTGTCCTTTGTTGCTTTGGAGCTGAAGGTCCCTGCCCTGCTAGAGGTGCCTTTCCTAAAACACCCCAAAAGCCAATCCAGCTGTACTTAAGTGCCCCAGCCAAGGACAGCGGCCGGCTGGTCCACTGAGCTTTTGAGGTTGGCCTTCAAAAAAATAGAGGCGTTCCAAATGTGTCATCAGGCCCACACAAAGCCGATGTCAAAGAGAAAGAGGTTCACCGACTGCTCCTTGCAAAGGATCCTCACAAAAGAAGGGAGACTTGGCAGCAGGTCTAGCTGTGCGCTTTCAGCTTAAGGAAATGCTTAGGTGTGTGTGAGAAACAGACCCCAGCACAAGGTGTGTACCTTCCCCCTGTATTTAAACCCAAATTAATTTCCCCGGAAGGAAATATCACGCAGATTTTTTAAGTCTATTTCGCGCTCCCAGCAGGGTAATCGGTTCTTTCAAACCTGAAGCAACAGAACACTGTGCAATTTGAACAGAAATTGTTAGATCAAAGGAGAAGGCGAACATTAAAGGAATGGAAGTGCTCTCATTATATAGCAAAATGGAAAGTGTTCACATTGGGATAGTTCAATTTTTAAAAACATGGTTAAAAGGACATAGGCAATTTAAAAATTATCAGGAGTGACACAGGAACAGCAGCCAGGTCCTAGGGGGGTCCACGTCAGTCAGCCAAGCACCTAACATCCAGTGAATAAAAATGTTAAGTAATCACAATATGCACCCACGTCACATGTTCTAGTTGATTTAAACTTTTAAAAAAATATTATTTTTCCCTCCAGCCTGCCATCCCCATGTGTGTTCCCAATAAGGTTCATTTTTTTAAAAATGCAGTTTGCTGAACAGTTACAGGCTCACGAGCATTAGCCAGCCATGTTGGACTGTGTCCTCTTGATCCTCATCTACAAACCAAACCAAACCCATTGCCCTTGTATGGACCTTAAAACATCCTTGCCTGGTATAAGGAGAGCCATGCCCTCCTTCTGAATTTTTCTGCAGTGCCGCCTTGATGTTGCCTAATCCGGAGCCCTTGAAAGACTTGAGGCCCACCACACCCTTGACCTTCCTATCAGACATGCAACTTCCTGTTCTCCCTGAGTCCTTCTGATTTTAGTTGTTTGACTAGTTATCTGTGTATATCTCCAGAGCTTTAGATGGAGAACTGTCTGACTTGGCTTTGCCACTTGTTGGTAGGTGCTGTCAAGTTGATTCTGACTACACAGTCGACCCTATATGATAGAGTAGAGTAGAACTGCACCCAGGGTTTTCTAGGCTGTAATCTTTTAGGGAGCAGATCCCCAGATCTCTTTTCCCCGTGGAGCCACTAGGTGGGTTCAAATCATCAACCTTTTGGTTAGCAGCCAAACACTTCACCATTACACCACAGGGCTCCTTGCTATGTCACCTGGTAGGGTGGTTATCAGCTGGGCGTTGACACCAGACAACCACCTGGGTTCACACCCTGGTTCCGCCACTTATTAGCTGTGTGACCTTGAGCTAATTACTTATGCTCACTGAGCCTCAGTGTCTTTACCTGCAACAAAAGTCTTGACAACACATATTTCATAGGGTGTTGTGAAGATCAAATGAGACGATACATGTAAAGCCACAGTGTACCTGGCATAAAGTCCATGTTCCGTAAGTGGCTGTAAATTGTTCACTTGAAAGATTCAGTCTATGATTTGAACAACTTTCACTTTTTCCAATGCATCGGGAGATAGCTAATCAGCAGTGACTTGTTCTACTAGCGGGAATGTTTCATCTATATTTTTCTTGTCCCAAATTGAACAATAGCAACAGGTTTCATTATTCATCTCTAAAGTCTCACAAAAGATGTCAAATTTTATTTCCGCAGTTTGGGTGACGATATTTATCTTCACAGGACTCTACCATCATTAATTAGAGAAAGGAAACCATGGCCCTGTGAAATAGGTTATTTTATTATCCCACATTGACAGATGAAGAGACGGAGGGGTACTTGCTGTGAAGGCACCACAGCAATACCACCCTGCGCTCGTACAAAAGGAGAAAAGGGTGGAGACCCATTTTTTCCTACTGGGTCCTGAGACAAGAAGTAGGAGAGAAGGCCAACAACCGAGCTTTCAAATAGAGGCGTGATGACTGGGGAGGCTTAGCCTATTGGTAGGAGGTGGACAGTAACTCTGAAGCCCATTATTTGAAAGAACAAACAGCTACAGATGCAATGCTAAAATCTGAAAGAAGATTGGTAAATCCATAACCAGTGGAGGAAACTCAGCAGGCATGATTGCCCACTATCATTTTTGTTAGATTCAGAGGCCTAAAGGCTTGCTACTCCTTGCAAAACAATATTTGCTATCATTAAATTAACAGGAGCTGGCTGGAACAGGATGCTATCCCCCTCCTGAGCAAACTAAGGAACTTGTCTATGGACCTGCCAAAGTATGTCAATAAGGAAATTAGTTCATATATTTTACTCATTCAATGTATGGCATTAATTCTCAATAATTCCTATCTGCTGGTGGAAAAGCAAATATTGGTAGCTACAAAGCATAAATCTGTTTGAAAAGTGGATTTTTTTAAAGATATTTCTGCCTCTTCAAATATTAAAAGACTTTTATGAGAGGAAAGGAGTCTTGTTTATAATTTCATCTATTTAGGATTAATAATTGTTGTTCGCTGCCATCTAGTTGACTCTGACTCATGAAGACCTTATGTACAACAAAACAAAATGTTGCCTGGTTCTGCATCATCCTCACGATAGCCAGCATGTCTCAGTCCATCATTGTGGCTATTGTGCCAGTGCAACTCACTGAGGGTCTCCCTTGCCCTCACTGACCTCTTACTTCACCAAACATGATGTCTTTCTCTAGTAATTGATCCCTCCTGATGGCATGTCCAAAGCAAACATTGTTCTACTGTGATCCATGAGGTTTTCACTGACTAATTTTTGGAAGTAGATTTCCAGGCCTTTCTTCCTAGTCTGTTTTAGTCTGGAAGCTGCACTGAAACCTGTCCACCGTGGGTGGACCTGCCAGTATTTGAAATACCATTGGCATAGCTTCCAGCATCACAGCAACACATAAGTCACCACAGTACCACAAACTGACAGACAAATAGTAGAGGATTAATAATTATCATTTTGTTTTTACTTAGCTTTTTACCTGACATTCAAAGCTTCTAACCTTCCCTTTCCAAACTTATTTCCTGTTATTCCTTCAGAAGTGTGACCTTTTCTCACTGTGTCCTGGACTACTTGGGGCTGGCAGTATGCAGCCTTTGCCCATAACCTCCCCACTGTGCATCCAAGTATTGGCTAAGGTTCAGCTAGAATGCCACCTTCTCTGGAGAATCTTTCCTGATTCCCAAGCCAGCAGCCAGGTCTGCTTCTGTTAAATTCCTCTGTTTCTTCCTCTGTGCTTCTCAGTGGTGGTCTTGTGCTCTGTCTCACTTTAATGATAATTTGGGTACGTATTTTATCTCCCTCCTGGGCGCAGGATCCTTGTCTGCCCAACCCTTGTATCCTTTGCCATGCTTTACACACGGTAGATGCTCAGTAGGTATTTGTTAAATAAATGAAAAAGTATTTTTTGAATAAATTGAACAAAAGAACAAATGAATCTGTAAGTGGTTCTCACACAGCCAATTAATTTTCCCATCAGTAGCTATGGCTATTGAGCAACAAGATGAGTAGTTCATCTGGAGACCAAAAAGAAGCTGACAGACATGTTTGGCACTTTTTCTTGTTTATTTGCTATGAACAAGAAAAATTGAAATGGTGAAAACATTAGAATAAAATTTTGATGGAACAAATGTTTACAGTGACTCCTCCCCCCCACCAGCTGTTACAACTCTTATAGTTTATTGTTTACAGGGTAGCTCTTCTGTTGCTGTAATTTGTTTATTTTGCTTTACTGTTCCTTTGAAGTTTAAAAGCAGACATGCAAACACCGCAGGGTGAACTTAGCTGTTGTGTTTGGAGTTGCGTTCCCTTTCTTTCAGGCACTCTGGGGTGTTTCTTTATGAAGGTCATTCCCTTTCTCTGCACTAAACACAGAACGAAATATTCCTTACTTTCAAGATTAATCCAGTGGCCGGCACTCATGGGAGAATAGTGGGGCTATGTGTCAACCAGCTCCAAATATTTTATGGCGAATGCTCCACTGTACCCTGAAAATTGCCATCACCTTTTGACATCAATTTCTCAACCTCAATATACTCAGTGGTAGTGGGAAGTA